AGCCATTTTAGGTTGACTCTTAACTTTTATAAAGAATATCTCTTTGGATTTGAGACTTTAGTCTTTGCAACTTTACAGATCTTCTTTATGCACCAAGAGCTTGTAACACTCCAAAGAGAAAGGAAAAATTTAAATCGCATCATATGACCCCTTTAAAAGCATTAATGAATATTTACACATGAACCCTTGGCTATGGTGAAACAGTGGCTGGTTTCTGAGGGCGGCAAGCTCAAATATGCTGATGCATGACTGGAACACCTGCATTTGATCTTTTTCTGACAGTTTTGGAAAATGTGAAATGAGGTTTGAAAGACTCTCAAAGTACTTCTCTCTTGCATTCTGAAATTCATAGCAATAAAGGAGAAAGTGAGCACATACTCTTTGTTCTTTTAGAAACCACTTTTGTCTTTGCCTTTTTCTTTTGCTTGAGTGTGATCACTGAGCCTGTATTTGGTGAGGATCTCTCTCTCTCTCTCTCTCTCTCTCTCTCATACATTATGACTATATTTCAGTTCACTTCAATATGTACTTTAATTTTCCCAATGGTCCGAATATTGTTTTGCTCTGTTTTGGTTTTCGTTCATGTCACTAAATTGCTTTAGTAGCAAAGAATGCAATTTATACAAATATGCCAATGAATTCACTGAAATGGATTCGATTTGAAAGATCTGATACAAATTCAAGTGGCTCAGTTTTCTCCTGTTCCAAAAGTACTAGCCTACACTTAAACTGACATCACATAAACCCATATGGTATAGAAATGGTCCATATAATCTTATGAGAATGGAATTGAGTATGGAAGTCTTGGTCCAATTTTATTGCCTGTATATTTATATTTAACTGCCTCTGTCAACACTCCCCAGGCCCCTGTTATGAATATGAACTATAAAATAAAAAATAAATCAGATTTCTGTGCTACTATTACTAATGGCAACCATTCGAATGCTTTGCAGTAATATCCTATTGTTGATAATTAGGCCAGTGAAGCTTTGTTGATTTGATTTGACTTGATTTGAGGAGGAAGGAGAGAGAGAGACCTAGAGAATGAGACAGAGAAGAGGTGAGAGAGAGACACTGGTAGGAGTGATTGAATCTGTGAATCTGGCAGTGGATATCCACCCACGCACCATTACAAAGCAGTTCGCCCAGGCTTGTTTTCAGCCTTCATAAGAATGCATATTATTACCACTGACATGCTCAGTTTCACTACACATGCATGTCATGTGAATCATGAAGCTTTTCCTTTGCATATCTGTTTAAAATAGAGATCTAGACGGGGTGAAAATGTAAACGGTTTACAACAACAGATTTCCATTACTTTTTTCCCTTACTTTTTTACTTTCCCCAAAAAAAAAAAAGTGGCATCTGATGTCAAGCACTAGAATATGGAAAAAGTGCCTTATTTGCCAGTGCAAAAATTCTTAAATCAAGAAACATTTACTTAAGAAACAAAATAGCATTAGATAAAAAGTCTTGTTGTCTGATAAACTGTTCAAAATTAAGTGAACTTGTGATTAAAACAAGAATAAATATCTGCTAATGGGCTTGGAAAAGTCAATGTAATTTAAAGGGAACATATTTGCTTATCCCATTGACAGAAACGTATTCTTTATTTGAGCACAAGCTGACTTGTAATGTCATGACTTTATAAATTTAAGACTTTCTGGTCAGATTTAAGACATTTTTAAGGCCATAATTTGTGGAAGGAAGAATTAAGACTTTTTAAGACCCACAGAAACCCTGCAGCAAATGTTCAATAGCATGTATTCACACAACACCTCTACTTTTGAATAAAAAGCTTCTTCAGGTGCTTTTGACACTTCATGAATCACTCTACCCTGAGAAAATAAGTTACATATGTTTTGTTTTATAACAGCCAATTACTTTTTTACATTAACATGAAAAATACAATATACAATATTTTTGTGTGGCTATTTAAAGCAAACACGTGTTCACTATACTGTCATTCCTTTCCTGTCAGCATTTGAATTATCTTACAATGGAGATCAACCACAAAATAACACCAGTATTTTGGGGTGTTATATCACTGACATCACAGAAGTATAATTGGTGTCGCCCAAAAGAGAAGGTGGTGTGATCAAAGCAAAGGGTCAAGGGTAACGCAATCAGTTGTTTATGAAGAGCAGATGTATAGGCATTCAACTCCTTACAATCCCATTATTTCATTACCATTCATTCAAAAATGATGACAAGGAACATAATAAGTGTTCTGTTTTAGATTGATATGTAATACAGTTCTCAAATAACATAGACACAGTGGTGTCACTGAGTTCAAATCCACCTTCAAAAACACTGAGGGGAAGAAATGGCACAGTGAAAATCACAGGAAGCTCAGTGGACCTTACACAATCAATGTATCTGATGCAAGAATATCAGGGAGTCATGCAAGCATCATCATGCATGAACAGGGAAGAGTCTGCAGCAGTAATTATGAGAGTAGTTAAAGCACAATGACAGTCTGAAGATGATTATGTGATCATACATTAATGCTAATTCTAATTCTAACTAAAAGCCATTATGAATAGAACCTCTTTTTGTTATTGTTGTTCGTGTTCATTCTTGTTGGAAAAAAATGTAAGGAGTAGCACTAATAAACTCTTTTGTTCATGCAAAGAGACTACGTCTAGCAAAGAAAGAATAAACTGTGAAAATGGAAAGAGCATAAGCAATAGAAATTGCACAGTGTAAAACAGAATTGGGATTGAAATGCCTTCAAAGTTAGAAAAAGGCTCTCATTCTATCTTCGATGTATCTTGATGTCTGTCTCTGTCTTCTCAGTTGTGATGCATGCAATTAGTTGTAATGGGGTTTGCTTGAGGTTTTTTGTTATGCCATAATGACTGTCAGGATGTGGCCTATATGAGAGAAGAGCAGAAGCTCTCAGGCTACAAACTAACACAAGATTCTCACTGGTATGAAAGTCAGAACTGAGTTTATGAAGTTTGCATTTATTAGGCAGTTTACTTGGTCTGTTGTTTCCGAACATAACAGCGGAAATCCAGTAATCATATAAACATACAAGTTGTGCAGTGTAGTGACAGAGAGAGAAGAAAGTGCAGTGAATATTAAGACAAAATGTTTTTCATGCACTGATTTTGTATGAATTGCATGTAAACTCAACATAAATTGCTAAATGTGCTGCTGTATTTGACTATATACTGTCTCGAGAATTTGTACAGGTAAATAGTCTAGGGGTAGGTGCAAAACGAAGTCAGCAGAAGTGTTTTAGTGACCAAAGTGCAATGAATGAACATTTAGCCAAAACGGCTTCTTCAGAGTAGTCCTCAAAAACTCTTTCTGCTGAGCAAATAATGTATTGAAGTGTTATGTCTCCCTTGCACTGGCTGACCCCTATCAGAAGGTGATGAACTTGATGATTGCCTTCTGGAACTGGACCTTCAAATCCTGTGTCAAATTGAATTTTCTCAGTTGTAGCCCAAAGTAAATCCTCTGTTGAGACTTTTCAACAACAGTCAGGGTTTGCCTTCCATTTAAGGCCCTGTAAGATTATGGTTGTGTTGATTTTGGACACAGTCAAGCGACTGACAGGAGTGAAGGCTTTGGAGTTCCACAATCATCTCTACACTTCAAAGCATCAGCTCTACAGTAGTTTGGTGAGGCTGAACCAAGACAACTTACTGTTCAGCTTCCTATTTCTATGCAAATATGTGCCCATCTTTTGGATACAGTGTGTTATCTTACACATCACTTGTGAATGTACAGTAGCTCTAAAATGTAGTTGGAAACTTACAAGTGGCCATACTAAACAAATTATCTGCAAACAAATGATCCTATAACGTCACTTTTTAGAGCTAGTTTGCATGACGAAATAAAGGATGCTTGGATGAATGAAGTCAGTTCCCCTCAAGTTCCCCTAATGTATGACAAAAACCTAAAAATAATCTGTTTGTTAAATGTTTTGCACAGAAGTGTACACATTGTTTTATGGCTACGTGTTGAATTTGTGATGGTCAACCTATGTTAGCCATTCTAGATCTTTCACAAAACTTGATAAAACCGAATTAAGGCCTGTTCATAACAATGACAATAACTATAGTGGCAACTAAAGTTCTAATAATGATTCTAAATCTATAAGAACAAGAAAGTCACAGCACAGAGGAACAAAATGGTTGGAATTACTTTCAGTACGATTTTTTTTTCAGCAGGTGAACAATAAAAACACTGAAAATCTGAATCCCCATGACTTTTAATAGACTGAGCATTTTAAGCGGCAGACGGCATAATTGCAACGCATGCTTATAATAAACAGAATGCTATCGTGCATTGGTATGGATGCTAATATTTAGGCTATTGTTATCATACTTTGCCTTTAGACACGCCCCCTCTTTCTACAGACATATTTGTAGGCTACCTATCAAGCTTAAGCAAGGCAAACTCTGCATTTATTTTCAAGTGCTTTGAAGCTTTCATCTCCCTCCAGTGACCAAATGCTTCACCGATGTCCAATCTTGCTTTGTCTCTTTATTTTTCTTTGTCTTGTTATTCCTTTTAGGAAACTCCAAACTCCAGAAAAATGCGCAATTTAATCTATCAGCCTTTACATATATGGAGTGTCTGCTGTAAACAAAGAAAATGATTGACAAGCAGAAAGTGCAACAAAACAAACAAAAACGAACGGCCTTTAGACACGCCCCCTCTTTCTACAGACATATTTGTAGGCTACCTATCAAGCTTAAGCAAGGCAAACTCTGCATTTGTTTTCAAGTGCTTTCATCTCCCTCCAGTGACCAAATGCTTCACCGATGTCCAATCTTGCTTTGTCTCTTTATTTTTCTTTGTCTTGTTATTCCTTTTAGGAAACTCCAAACTCCAGAAAAATGCGCAATTTAATCTATCAGCCTTTACATATATGGAGTGTCTGCTGTAAACAAAGAAAATGATTGACAAGCAGAAAGTGCAACAAAACAAACAAAAACGAACAGTGTCCCACTGATTTTTTTATTTTAGTGTCTGTAGAGACTGGCCCCTTGTCCAAATACCCACGCTTGCAGTCTTGGCCATTTGAGAGCGCGTGTGCGCGACATGAAGTAAGTGTGCAAGTCTGTCCCAGGTCTTAAAAACACCAGAGCGCAGTGCCCTTAAAGCACACTAAACCCACACTATCTCGAATACTGCTCCGGAGCACTATTCGAGGCTTAGTGTATCCCATCATGCATCATGTTCTGGAAATAAATTGTGAGACTTTTTGCCGAGATCTCGTGAGAGGTCACGGAAACCTTTCCAATGCAAGTTAAATATTAATATAATAATGAGATATTACATATAATTTGGTAGAAAAACACTGTTTTTACGTTTTATTGGTGCAAAGATGAGTTGTGGTGATATTTATTTTGTACAACATTTGCAACTGCTTTTTATCACTTAATTAGAAGCACCACAAATTAAAATTGTCATGTTATAGGGACTACTGAAGAGACATTTAGAAGTTGATTTTAAAATGCAAAGTATTTAAAATAAAAATAAAAATAAAGCTATGTAAACACCTGCATTTTTACAACACTATAAGTGTGTCCCATCAGGTAATGAAAAGTTCGACACACACTTGTGGTCTTCATCCTCACTTGAACACTTGGGCCAAATACAGGAAATATGTCATATAAGTAGTCAAGTGGTCAAGTGCAAAGACCACAAGTGTGGGTATTTGGACAAGGCTTGGGTCTGTAAAAACAGATTTGCATGAAAACTCAGGAAAGTTATCTCACTGACATCTTTCAGGTAATTTGGATCATTTTCTGATCACCATTCCATAAAAACCTATGTTTATCTAACCTCTTAAAATTTTTCAAAAGTTTTTTAAGAATCAAGAGACACCATTTGTTGTTGTTGTTGAATTAAACGAGCTTCACCAGGTGCCCTTGACAGTGATGAGCACCAGGTGGCAGTTTGACTGGTTGTCTTAGCAATTCTGTGCGCACTAGAGTGTCCTTTATTAAAGGGCTGCTTTATGAGATTTCACCATGCACTACAATTCATAACTCCATATATAACACATACACAGACAGATCAATTAAATGGTCTAACATGAAAGACAACATATATTTCAATTATATTATTTAGATGTTATATTTGTATACATACTGAATATAAATAATTATGTATATTATGTATTTCTATTATATATTTCATTATGTATTTCCCTAGATGTGTAAAAAGTAGTGAATGATAGCAGAGTTAAAGTATAGATACTGTGGATACAAATAAAAGCTGACCTATCTAGCCAGAAAGTACTTGAGTTAAAAAAAAAATCTGGATTTTACATTTCAAGGGTTTTAAAAGTAAAACATTTTTTTCTTCTTGGCTGTTGAAATCACCTGATGAAATCAAGAGATGGAGGCTATTAAAGTTACTTTGATGCACAGATTTCTTTTTTTAAAAGTTCAGTTGGCTACATAATTTGATTGCCTTGTTAGCTCAGTAAAATGAACATAACATGAAGATTGATTTATTTAAAAGACTGCTGACCTGCAAAAATATGAACTTGAACTATTTAGATCAACATAAATATACACACATTTAATTAGATTTATATTGGTTAGGAAATATGTACAATTTTACTTTTTTATGAGTTGTGTATAAAACTGAAAGCTAATGCAGATCAAACCCTGCCTGTCTGACTTGAAGTGAAACTTGTAGTAATTATACACATGGCATTTGTTTCAAACATCAGACTAAGAAACCCAAGAAATCAGCTACTTAAAGCACACAGATTCGTGGCTTCCTCTAACTGTTGACTTTCAGTTCCTTCAGTGTAATTCTGTCAGAGGACATTCCATCTTCCTGTGTAACAAAGCCAGATTTCAGTTTAAACGTTACAATGGTTAGGACTTTACCAACTAGTTCAGCTTTTACATCAGAAACACACCATTTCTCTCATGCACAGGATGTCTCGTCCAGAAGGGTGGGAGTGGAAAAGAAGCTTATGGCACAAGGAGAGCACATGAAATAGGGAGAGAGGCCAAAAAAGGTGAACAGCAACACATCGAAAGATGTGAAAGGATTTAATTCACACTAGCCAGCCCCAGTCACACAGCGACTGACAGGCCACATTTAGAGACTTTGTCACTACACATTATTTCATTTCATCATGAAGGAAGACGCTAAGCAAAAGCAAGACACATTGAATAACTTGGTTGTTATGAAAACCCCCAGAGCACCATTGCAGTGTTTGTCCTTGTATGAAATATATTGAGAGGCACAGGCAAGGGAAACTTGGGCTCACACACAAATCAACCAATTTTCATTAGCTGTTCAGTCATGGCCCATATGTAACAAAATAGCTTATTATATGAGAAATGTTTTTAGAGCTGAACTGTCAAGGTCAGCACACTTTATGGCAAGCAATTATTTCATAAAGAAAGCATTTTCTATCTTCCATTTCCATGCATGAAATAAAACTAGTTCAGAAATACACACTTATCCACAAACTAAAATAAAATAATTAAAAAAACAGGAATAGTTCAGCCAAAAATGACAGTCTGCTGAAAATATAACCTCAGCAAGATGTGGATGATTTTGTTTCCTCATTGGAACATATTTAGCAGAGAAATTGACTATTACATCACTTGCTCACCAATGGATCCTCTACAGTGAATGGGTGCCATCAGCACTGGAGAAATCAATATGGATAGAGGAGCAACGGTTTAAAGGTTTAAAGAATTTGTTTGTTACAAACATGCAGCTCTTCACTTCAACTCTTCCAAGTTGTTAACTTGGGCTATGTTCTGGAGTCGTGTGGATTATTGTGATGTTTTTATCAGCCGTTTGTACTCTCATTCTGACAGCACCCATTCACTGCAAAGGATCCATTGGTGAGTGAGTGAGTACGCAAGTGATGTAATGCTAAATTTCTCCCAATCTGTTTTTATGAAGAAACAAACTCATCTACATGTTTGTCTAAGGTTAGTACATTTTCAGAAAATTTTTCTTTTGGGTGAACTATTCCTTTAATACAGAGTTACAGAGAAAAATTATCCTTTTGTGCTTTACAGACAAAAAACTATAGCAGCATGCAGGTTTGGCATGACAGAACCTTGAGTAAATGACAAAATGTTTTAATTTTTGGATGAACTATCCCTTTATGTTCCTTTCACTCACAATTTTGTTATATTCAACTCTGGAATAAATTAGATTTAAGTGTATCGATCAACAAATCCTACAATGCGTACTGCTAAAAATCTAGATAAACTGCTGTACGGTAAGTGTGCATCATATATTGCACACTAAATTACTTATTTTATATCAGAGCCTTTATCAAAGCTCTTCAATATTTCAAGAGAAAACTATACAAAAAAAAAAGTGCTTCCAGCTGTTATTATGTGGCGCTTAAACCTGTAAAATCTGGAAGCTTCCATTTATTTATTCAGACAAAATGACAATTCTCATGAATAATGTTATGTAAGTCTGGAGCTATGAATTCACAAAATTACCTTATAGGAGGAATCGCAGTGATCTATAACTGAGGAGAATTTATATATTTTACAGAATGTACAGTTTTAGTCTGATAGTATATGAGCATATATCATGATGATGTACATGCATTTTACATACATCATGCTTGTTTTCTGTTATAGTGGTGATAAATGGAAAAAAAAAAAATGAAAATTATTTATTTTCTCTCTCAAGCCTTTTAGAAATTACAGGCATTTACACTAAATCCACTCTAATCCCATGAACACTGGAAGCATATGATGGGACATTCAGCATGAACATGATGCACATGTGTCCCTGCCACTTACACACTTCAAAGACATGGTTCTATACAAAGTACTGCAGTTCCCTTTAAACCCATTCGTTTATTTTGATCAAAAACACACTTTTTCATTTTAGCTGATTCTACATGTTCAAAACCACCACACATGAAGATGCCACAGTAATAGCCCGTATTTGCTAAAAAGCTTCCCCAAAGCTTTAAACAAATAGCAGAGTATTCAGGGAACAAGTGTTTTCGGAATGAACGCAATGTCTTCTCCAGGGTTTTGAAATTCAAGGCAGCTTTATGGACAAAAAACTGACAGTGACTCTTTAGAGAAGGCCCACCAAAGAGCTTTGATCTGAACATGTCAGGAGACAAGGTGTTGAAACAAGTGTTGTGATGGGCTCTGGTTGCTTTAGTGATCTGGCTTACATGAACAGCTTCTCAATCCTCTGTGCTTCCAGGAACATGTTGTCACCATTTGGTCCTTGCTGGGAAACTCCAAAAAGAGAGGAACAAAAAAAAAAAAAAAAAACCCAAATTAATTTAGATACATAAAGCTCATGAGGTTTATACACTTTAAAATCAATCACTGCAGTTTCATATACACTCACAGAGAAAAAAAAATAAAAAATTACATTGTCACTGGGGTGGTATCATTGTAAAAGGTAGGCCTACTAAAATGTACAATTTAGGTACTAATATGTACCTTTTAGTTTTACCTACCACCAAAATGAACATCTTTTTTGAGAGTGTAGTAAAAATCATGTAAAGTATAGTTTCAAAAACAGGAGGGATAAGGGAAATGTTTTATGGTAATCATCAACATTATGCCACAAATTTGGTCAGCTTCTATTGAACTAAGAACGTTCCTTTAAAAGAATAAGCTGCTGAAAAACTGTAGCAACTTCAGGTCTGTTCACACACAATTCATCATTCTACTTCTTTACAAAATGACGGCAATGAATGTCAGATATTTTTTTTTAAAGTTAGATAGTTCCTCAAGTTTCATACTGCAATTTGTCACTTTTCAAATGTATGTCATGGATTTTACCACTTCCTCTAGGCCAACAGAAAAATGGGTTGTATGCATGTTTTGCCTAAATTGGCACATGAAAAATGAGGACGATCCCAAATGCATTTAATATTAAAGTGTGGATTTAGGGGTAGATTTAAAGTAAGACTTTTTTCACTGTTGTTATCCATTGATATCGTATTTTCCTTGCCTGTACAGGTGCATCTCAATAAATTAGAATGTCGTGGAAAAGTTAATTTCAGTAATTCAACTCAAATTGTGAAACTCGTGTATTAAATAAATTCAATGCACACAGACTGAAGTAGTTTAAGTCTTTGGTTCTTTTAAATTGTGATGATTTTGGCTCACATTTAAC